ATGTGTGATTTAAGTTTCAGTGATGTTTGTTTTACAAATGTGGGTGCCTTAGTATTTGGGGCATAGATGTTCAGAATTGAGACTTCATCTTGGTAGATTTTTCCTGTGACAAATATGAAATGACGTTCTTCATCTCATTTGATTAGTTTTACTTTGATGTCTATTTTGGTTGATATTAGGATAGCTACACAAGCTTGTTTTTGGGTCCATTTGATTGGAAAATCTTATCCCAACCCTTTACTCTGAGGTAAGTTCTGTCTTTGAAGCTGAGGTGTGTTTCTTGTATGCAGCAGAAGGATATATTTTGTCTTTGTATCCATTCTGTTAGCCTGGGTCTTTTTATAGGTGAATTAAGACCTTTGATATTAATTAAGGGATCTTAATGACCATTGATTGTTGATTTTTGTTAGTTTTGGATTAGTTGTTGTTGGTGGTAGTGTGTGTGTGTGTGTGTGTGTGTGTGTGTGTGTGTGTGTGTTACCCCCTTTTAGCTTTTGGTAATGTGGGATTATCTATTGCCTATCTTTTTGTGAGTGTAGTTAACTTCCTTGGGTTGGAGTTTTCCTTTCAGTACTTTCTGTAGGGCTGGATTTGTGGCTATGTATTGTTTAAATCTTGTTTAGACATGGAATATCTTGTTTTCTCCATCTATAGTGATGGAAAGCTTTCCTGGGTATAATAGTCTGTGCTGGCATCCCTAGTCTCTTTGTGTTGGTAGAACATCTATCCAGGACCTTCTGGCTTTCAGAATTTGCATTGAGAATTGAGGTGTAATTCTGATAGGTCTGCCTTTATATGTTACTAGGTCTTTTTTTTCTTTGTAGCTCTTAATATTCTTTTTTTTATTCAGTATGTTTGGTGTTTTGATTATTATGTGGCAAGGGGACATTTTTTTTTTGGTCTAGTCTATTTGGTGTCTGTAAGCTTCTTTTACTTTCATAGGCATGTCCTTCTTTAGGCTCCATTTTTTTTTTTTTGTGTGTGTGTGTGTGTGTGTGATTTTGTTGAATACGTTTTCTGTGCCTTTGAACTGGGCTTCTTCGCTTTCTTCTATACCTATTATTCTTAGGCTTGGTCTTTTCATGGTGTCCCATGTTTCCTGGATATTTTGTGTTAAGAATTTGTTTGACTTAACATTTTCTTTGGTCAATGAATCTATTTCCTCTAATATATCTTTAACACCCAAGATTCCCTCTTCCATCTCTTTTATTCTGTTGGTTGTGCTTGTATCTATTGTTCCTGATCATTTACTCAGATTTTCTATTTCTAGCATTCCCTCAGTTTATGTTTTCTTTATTGCCTCTATTTCAGTTTTCAATTCTTGAACTTTTGAATTGTTTCCTTCACTTTTTTGATTATTTTTTTCTTGGCTTTCCTTTTCTTAAGAGATTTCTTGAGTCCTTCCATTTTTGTTTGTCTTTTCTTCCATTTCTTTAAGGGGGTTTCCTCTTTAGGTGCTTCTACCATCTTCATAAAGATTATTTTAAGGTCATTCTCTTTGGCTTCATCTGTGTTGGGATGTTCAGGTCTTGCTGGTATAGAATCCCTAGACTCTGGTGGTGTCATTTGACTCTTTCTGTTGTTGAATGTGTTCTTATACTGTTGTTTTCCAATCTCTTCCTCTAGTGGGTGCAGATGTGGCCTGTAATTCAGGGGATTTCTTTTCCTCTAAATGGTGTAAGCAGGGCCTGTGGCTCAGATGGTTGATCTTCCTCTCCAAGTGGGGGCAGGGCCAAGGCTCCAATGGTGAGGGATATAGTGCTGGATGGTTTGGAGTGTCAGGAGTGTGCCACCAGGTCTCTGGGCTTTCTCTCCCAGTGCAGGCAGGGCCAAGGCTCTAATGGGGGCAAATGCAGTGCTTGATGGTTTCTGGCTGCTCCCAGTACTCTGGGGGATTCAGTTAGCAGGACAGGGTAATGTGACCTGGTCAAGTTCCTCCAAGGAGGGGTGGGGAAGGAGAAGGCCTGCCACTCACCCCTGGTAGGTACAGGGCTGAAGCTGCTACTCTAATTTTTGTGAACATATTTTATATCCCTTGGAACAAATGAAGTGTGTTGAGAGTTAAAGTAATAAATATGTAGTTATAGACAACAATTATTTTTCTTTTAATTGTGTAGCTTAATGCTTCTGAAACTTTCTGCTGACTTTAATTTCTGTTTTGAATTAAACCATGATAAATGTCTAGAAGCCTTAGACAAACTGATATTTAGGACTATAATAATAATTACCTTTAAAATATAACTTGCATTTTTTTTTCTGAGACAGGGTTTCTCTGTGTAGCTTTGGAGCCTATCCTGGCACTCACTCTGGAGACCAGGCTGGCCTGGAACAGAGATCTGCCTGCCTCTGCCTCCAGAGTGCTGGGATTAAATTCGTGCGCCACCAACACCTGGCTTAAAATATAACTTTCAAGTATCCTTTCTTATGAGTCCATTGTGCTCTAAAATCAACATTTGAGCCACTAAGTAGAATATTTTAGGTTTTTAATATTTTTCGGAAGTCCAACTACATGCTTTTAGTTTAAAATTTCCTTCTTTCTCATTGAAACGTCAAGTAAATAAATATCCCTTTGTAGTCATTAAAACTTAATGGGAAATTAATGGAGTTGTAAAAACGTTAGCTTTACTTCATGGAAAGCCAGGCAGGATGGTTCTGGTCATTCTCTGTGACAAAGAAGGGTTAATTAAAGACATTTAAATTATTTACTCCCCCTTGGGCAGATTTCAGATCTTCCCAGCAAGTGCAGAGTTTAGGGACCAGGGACTACAAATCCTGACCTCAACAGGCCAGGGAAAGACAATGAAGGAAAACATTCTTGTCATTTTCTGTAAGAATAGCCACTTGGCTTTAGGAGCCCACTCCCTATGAAGGGATACTCTCTCAGCCTAGATACATGGGGGAGGGCCTGGGTCCTGCCCCAAATGACGTGACAGACTTTGATGATTCCCCCATGGAAGGCCTCACCCTCCCTGAGGAGTGGATGGGGGTGGGATGGGTTGAAGGTAGGGGGAGTGGAAGAACAGGACGGAGAGGGAACTGGGATTGGTATGTAAAATAAGATTGTTTTTAATTTAAATAAAAATTAATTTAAAAATAATAAAAGAAAAATGAAAGAAAATCTTTTTCTGTAACAGTAAAGAAAAAAAAAAAAGAATAGGCCCAATCAGCTGGTCCTCAAAGGGAGGCCTCCTTAAAAGCAATAGGGGAATGAGGCTGACATTGCACAGTTGGTGACTTTAATATACATGATTGCTTCTACCTGGCTTACCTTCTCCGTGGATTATCTAGCCGATGTTGTAGTGACCACAGACCTGACAGACTTAATTTGAACTGCATTAGCTTTTCATTGCAGTGTAAAAATAACTCCAAAATGTATACATATATAGCTAAGTGACCATAATATAACTTAATGAGTTTCCCAAACAAACAAAGATATGAAAGCAGAAGATGGAGCATTTGGGGAGAGGAAGATGATGAATGGGAGAAGGGCAAGAGCGGGTAATGCAAGTAAAACATGCTCAACATATATTCTATACATGTATGGAACTGTTAAAAATAGAGAAATAATAAACACATTATATACCTTTTTAGCGTGAGAATTCAGGAAGAGCTGAGCCGGGCTGCTCAAGTTCAGTGATTTCCACAAGTCTAGATGTAAGCAAGGGTTGAATTCATCGGAGGGCATGATTAAGCCAAGCAGTTACTTTCTAGGTGTCTCTGAACATGGCAAACTGCTTGCTGTTGCTGGCAGGAGACCTCCAGTCTTCACCTGGAGCCTGCTTGAGAATTTTCAGGACACTGTGGTGGTGGTAAGTGAGCACGAGTGATATAAGAGAAAAAGCTGAGGCCAAAAGTGACTTCATGACCCAGCTGCACAAGTTGTGGCTACCATCCCTTGAACACAGCCAGTATTGTTTAAATTGGTCACTCTTTTCAGGGTGAAAATGGATCACAGAGGTGCACATATTCAAGTTGGAGAGGGCACTGGGGACTACTTGCGAAGATGACTACCATGGGGTGTAGTAATTCTTATAGGCTCTTAATGAAGTTGGCCTTGGCAAATTAATATTATTATTATTATTATTATTATTATTATTATTATTATTATTATTATTATTATTATTATTATTATTATTATTATTATTATTATTATTATTATTATTATTATTATTATTATTATTATTATTATTATTATTATTATTATTATTATTATTATTATTATTATTATTATTATATTTTTGTATACATGTGTGCCTCTAAGAGGCTTCCAATTCCCAGTACTTTCAAGTTGCCCTCCACTTGGCTTATCTGTATGGTACATTTTTTTCTGTATCCCCATTGGTAATAATTTCATTGCTTTCAGCCACCTTTAAGATTGCAAGTGTTCAACAGTAAGCATTATCTTTGTCTTTTATTCAACATGTTTTTTTCAGTGTGTGCCTAACATGTGAATATTGTTCTATCCATGAGCAAATGAGAGTCAGAGATTAACTGCTTGCATCATTTCCTTTCAAAACCAACACATTGTCCTCTGAATTTCCTGAGTTATTTTAGAAAGACACCAATCATTGTTTATACATGTGTGTCTTAATTTAGTGTTTGAAAGATTTTGACTTTCATCTCTGTGATAAGCTCTAAAAATACCTTTCTATGGGGATTTTTCTTTGCTTTGTTTTGTTTTTCTCCCTCTTATTTATTTTTAAAGCTTTCATATTAAAGCTATTTGGGCCAATAAATCTTTCTTTGATATCATAGTGGTCAGCCTTGAAGAGGTAAGTGGAAAGTAATGACAGTCATCTAGTTGATGATCCAAGTGATTGATTGGATCAAATCATTTAACAGTTTTACAAAGTCAATATCAGGGAAAGAAATGAGACTCTTATTATGGTAAACTGTATTTGTACTGTCAGCAATCAGTGATTTATTACAAACCTGTGGCTAGGATTAGGATATTATAAATGGGGAAAAATGAAAGGCTCATTAATTTTTTATGCCCACAGGTGGAAGACATGCAGTGGGCTAATAGAGAACACACACACCCAGCATCTGTCTGCAGCCTGCCTTGCAAGCCTGGAGAGAGGAAGAAAACTGTGAAAGGGGTCCCTTGCTGCTGGCACTGTGAACGCTGTGAGGGTTATAACTACCAGGTTGATGAACTCTCCTGTGAACTCTGCCCTTTGGATCAGAGACCAAATATCAACCGCACAGGCTGCCAGAGGATCCCCATCATCAAGTTGGAGTGGCATTCTCCCTGGGCCGTGGTACCTGTGTTCATAGCAATATTGGGAATCATCGCCACCACCTTTGTGATTGTGACATTTGTCCGCTATAATTATACACCTATCGTGCGAGCTTCTGGGCGGGAACTTAGTTATGTGCTCCTTACGGGGATTTTTCTCTGTTACTCAATCACCTTTTTGATGATTGCGGCACCTGATACAATCATATGTTCCTTCCGACGGATTTTCCTGGGACTTGGTATGTGTTTCAGCTATGCAGCACTTTTGACCAAAACAAACCGTATCCACCGAATATTTGAGCAGGGGAAGAAATCTGTCACGGCGCCTAAGTTTATCAGTCCAGCATCCCAGCTGGTGATCACCTTCAGCCTCATCTCCGTACAGCTCCTTGGAGTGTTTGTGTGGTTTGTCGTGGATCCCCCCCACACCATCATTGACTATGGAGAGCAGCGGACACTGGATCCAGAGAATGCCAGGGGAGTTCTCAAGTGTGACATTTCTGATCTGTCACTCATTTGCTCGCTGGGATACAGTATCCTCCTGATGGTCACTTGTACTGTTTATGCCATTAAAACCAGAGGGGTCCCAGAGACGTTCAATGAAGCCAAACCTATTGGATTTACCATGTACACCACTTGCATCATTTGGTTAGCTTTCATCCCCATCTTTTTTGGTACAGCTCAGTCAGCAGAAAAGGTAAGCAACAAGAAATCCTTGTGACAGCCCTTTTTCTGGGTTTATCTAAACTTAACCTTACTTAGAATTATTTTTCCTACTTTAGTTCATTTATATTCTTTCAAGATGCTTCAGTCTGTAATATGTGTGTGTAGTGTGTGTGTGTGTGTGTGTGTGTGTGTGTGTGTGTGTGTGAAGGTTGCATTGCTTTGAGTATTGTGGCCTATGTATGACTCCCCACACCATGCCACTATTGCATGCTCTTTAGCAGGATTGAAGATTGACAGACTTCATATCATTTTCCGAGTCTCTTTTCCCAGCCCTGCTATCTACAATGTCACTGTTCTTTTCCAAATGTTAATTAAAAGACAGAGGCAGAAAGGGCAGATGGGCTCACAGGGGTGAGCAGTCCCTGAGAGATCCTATTGCATAGCAAACGACATCTTTTCCTTTCTGTGGAAACTCTGGGAAATAGCCATTTCTTGACAGTTATGGTTCCAATCACATATAATAGCAGAATTTATGGTAACACAACCAAACCCAAAACATATCAAAATGGGCTAATACAATCCTAACCACTGACCACATCTCCCCAGTGCCTAGTCTTGTTAATTTTACATTTACAAATGATCATGATGGTGAATAATTATGATAGCAGTAGACAATTATATAACATTGCTTATATTTGTAGGTGAAGATCAATTGACCCTCCTGAAGTAATTTCTTTTGTCATTAATCTTCAGTTCACATTTTCCCACATAAAACACTGAATAATAGAGAAAGACTTCCTATGATATGTGGTATGTGTTGATGTAGGTGCTGAGAACCAAGGTTAACCCTGAGTTTTGAGAGGTAGAAAGAGGACGCTCATAGCACACAGGGCGATGTTGGATTTCTATAGTGATAACCCTTCAGCCTTAATGTGTATGTAAGAAAGCTCTTTCAAATAGAGGATTTAACATCTGCCCACCATCCATCATTAGAAAGACATTGACTATCTCATGGGAAATTATATTCCTGGGACTGTATAGATGCAGTTGAGATCCTACATAACTTAAAATCTCAACCAAGTCAGATGGAAAGTCATCCACAAGGTGACAGGAATTTTTAGGATCACTATTCAGAACTCAGTGCATCAATGTGGCCTGTAAGTATGAGACTAGCATGAACTTGCCTCAGACATTTGATGTGGTATCAAACATGAAGAGGGAAGTAAGACAGTCAGGGGCTAGACCCTTAGTAATGAAGAGATGTTTTTCAATATATAGGAATGGAAACCTATTAGAAATTATACCTATAAATCTAACCTGTGAAAGAATATAGGATCTGGGAAATAACTGCCTCAAAGTTCAGTGTTGAATTTGATTTGTTGGTTCAGTCATGGAAAATGCAATTTTTTTCAGAGTTTAAAAATGCCCAAGTATATGCATTACTAGTAACAGCTATGCAAGCAGTTGTTATGTTCACTGCTGGCCCCTCTTCTTGAGTACTGCATTACATACAGAGGGCCATCACAAGGTGTTGACTGTGCTTCAGGTGACCAATAAGTTTCTCATGTAGAAGATATCATCTGTCTAATATTACTTGTTATTCTACCTCTTATATTTTAAACAATATAACTGCTATTTTTAATATGACTTCTATAGATGGGCAGGTGAGAAAACAATTGTGAATGTGTTTATATCTTTTTTCTTTTGAAAATTCAATATGTCAGAATTTAAGTAAAATCATCATCTTATATCAAGGTATTGGATACCATAGTGTTTCAAGTATGTTGAATTTGAGTTCTGAGTGGGCCTTTAAAGCTATTAAAAGTATTTTGTCCCAGGAGGAGCTCATGAGGTCCTGACATAAGTGAGGAGCTACTGACAATTGACAGCAGCTGGGGGATGAGAAGTCATTCTTCTTTACAGATATGGCAAAGACACAGGCTACCCATGCTCCTGTGGGCAGCCTCCACAACCATTTACATAAGGATAGCATTAATTGAACTTAATGTTTAGTTTTTGTTTTTTAAAGAAGGGATGTTTATTGGACAATGGACCTGGGGAAGAACTGGAGGGAGAAATGGCAGCATGGATATTAATATATTTCACTGTATACATACACAAAATTCTTAAAGAATAAATTTTTCTAAATACAATATTTTTCTCTCCAAAGAATAAAGTTATAGATCTATAGCTGTTACCTAAAAAAACAGCTATTGAGATAAAGATTTGAACATGAAATAAACACAGAAACATACCAGGAAATTGAAGCTACCCACTGTGATGCTGAGCCTATGAGAGGTGTATATCTATTTTAAAATATGAACTTTATATTTACTTTTATGAGTATGGGCATATCCATGCCTTTAGGGACATGGTTGAATGTGGTTAGGCAATTTCTTCTTTTCTTTCATAGCTTTGTGGAATAAAACTATGTTTGAAACAAATTGTAAAACAAATAAAAATATGCTAACTGGAATTTATTTTGTATTTATGATGTGATTAAATGTGAGCCAGTCTGCAGAACTCAATAATAAGTAATAACTGTTTGGATTTTCAGAATGTTATAGAGATGTATCATTTAGTCTCCAGGTTGTAGAATTTAGACCGTCACTATAGCAAGAGCTATTGTATCATAAATAGTCTTTGCCACTGAAGTACTTTATATAATGGAATTATGTGTTATCCTAAAACTTACCTTAAAATTTACTGTCTTCTTTTCTTTCAAAGTATCTTTGTTATTCAAGATGATAGATAAAATGCTTCAGAGTATTTTTAACATTGTTAAAGCTATTGGCATGGATATTAAAAATGAACTAGACATTTCTACTTCTAAAAGAAGTCTTTAAATAAGTTTATTGACTTGGCAGGGCAGAAGAGCTGATCACTCCTCCATTTTCATTTATAATGCTCAGCCAATTAGCCCAGGTTATCAACTTGAAGCATTTACAACAGCCAGGCGACACACACATCCATTAATTCAGCAGATAGTTATTGAGCATTGTGTCTGGCATTGTGCTAATTATTGAACCCATGTCAGTCTGCCTCCCTGAGTGTCCTTGTAAGGATCAGCTTGGCTCTCAGCCCATGCCTTCTTGCTGTCTGCCAGCACCAGCAAGATGCCAGGCCCAAGGGCAGGGAAGATGGTGAGATGCCAGATATGAGATGAGAAAGCAAATAACTATTCATAGTATAACTATACATTAGTGACACAGAATTTGTAACATGGAAAACAGCAGGAAGAGCAATTTTCTCCCAGTGTGCATATTGTCATGCCATCTGAGAGTAGTGTCTACTGCAGGAAAGTTATTGAACCATGCAGCTCCCCCTGAAATTACAATAGGCAAGAAACCAAAGAGAGTCAAATAATCTGTATAGGTGGTTCAGAAAACATTTCTATATAACCAAGTTTTCAGTTACACAAAGAACACCATAAAGACTTTTAGATCTTTGAAGTATGTGGTGTCTACTTTCAATAGCAAACATCATTTAAGTTTTCCACTTGTTTTTTCTTTAAATTTACAATTATGTAATTTCTCATACTTCTTATTCTGCTACATATTGGAAGAAATTTACTTTCTCCTTGATTAAAGAGAAACAATATGAAGAAACTATAGAATTATTGAGGCATTCCGTGGGTATGACCAAACTCGCATAATTGTGCTGAAAAGACAGAAATACATTTAAAATCATTAACTTAATAGTCAGGAAAATAATCATTAGTGGTAGTTACATGCTGATAAATAAGGTGGCAGAATTGGGCCCATAACTGACAATAGTTATAACACTGCCAGACTCCAAGGAGTACAATATTTCAACAAGATCACAGGATATATAAACAACAACAAAAAAACCCAAAAGTAATCAGAATGGAAAATATAAAGCTGAAAGATGTCTTAGTGTTTCTATTGTTATGATGAAACAACATGACCAATAGCAAGTTGGGGAAAAATGAGGGTTTGTTCCACAGTACATCATCAAGGGAAATTAGGACAAGAACTCAAACAGGGAAGGGAACTGGAGTCAGGAGCTGATGCAGAGTCCATGGAGGAATGCTGCTTACTGGGTTGCTCATCATGGATTAATTACCTGGCTTGCTTTCTTATGGAACCCAGGACATCTAGCCCAGGGGTGAGACCATCCACAATGGGCTCGACACCCCCCCCATCAATCACTAATTAAGAAAATGCCACAGGCTTGCTTACAGTCCAATCTTATGGAGGCATTTCCTTGATTGAGGTTCCCTCCTTTCAGATGACCTTAGCTGAAGATGGATTTCATACTTCATTAAAAAGTCTGCCAGACATTCTTGGGCCTATAGGCTGAAGAATGATGCCCCAACATTACAGAGGAACTTCCGATGACTGTCCAGGCCGTGAGATGTCTCTGTCAATTCTAGAGTTTATATATTATCCTTCTGAGGCCTTTGATAGAGTTGAAGACTGATAGTTATGGTTATGGTTTTCCTTAGTTATGATAAAAGTTACATATTAAACTTTAGACTCACAAAGGTAGGATAGATGCTAAAATATTTTCTCTGATTTTGCCAAATGTTAGTAGACTAGATATTGTTTACTATAGTTCTTGCTTAATAACTGTTTTGTTATTTTTAATTTTACTATGTTAAAGTTAAAGCCTTCCTTTTTATTTAGACAGAAAAGAGGGAATGAGGGGGGATGTCCTTCTGTGTGCTGTGAATATATGTTTCTCTGATTGGCTGTTGAATAAATTCTGATTGGCCAGTAGCTAATCAGGAAGTAAAGGCAGGTCTACCAGACTAGAAGAATTCTGGGAAGAGGAAGCCAGAGAGTAGCCAATAGTGAGACACCATATAGCTGCCAAAGGAGTAACATACCAGTGCATTATAGTAAGCCATAGCCTCATGGAAATACATAGTTTAATAAAAAATGGGTTAATAATTACGAGAGACCTAGCCAATAAGAAGTCTGAGCCATTAGCCAACCAGTTTATACTTGATATAATCCTCTATTTGTTTATTTGGGAATGAAGGGTGGCAGGACTTGGCAGAACAGAAACTTCTTCTTCACTTAGCTTATG